GCCTTGGAGTATGCCAGAGGAACATGTATCACTGCTTGAGCTCCAAGAGCTGAGGTATCCCCCATACTGCTACATATGACCTAAAACACTTATTAAACAAATACATATTGAACACCTACAAGGAGCCAAGTACTACAGCACTGATCCTCATATCAAATGCAAATTCAATAAGCAGTCAGCTTAATTCTGTACACTACTTGGTGAAAATTACCACCATGATACTGCATGTTACAATAGCATTGAAATGTAGTAACCACAACTTTGGACACTCTCACAGCAGATAACAAACTAGATTACTCAGAATGTTTTCTTTTCCACAAAATCAAAAACCTTTTTGAAATGTCAGCCTTGAACATCATAAAATTATACAGAATGATGAGGAACCAGGCTTATAGTGCATATAAATACGAGAGCATATTAGGCTGCATTTAATTACCAGTTCAAACAACAACCTGATCTAACCTTTGACAAGTAAAATAAATGTTCTGAATAATTTAACTAAGCAAACATTTGCTGTTAATGCTAGCTAATTATAGTAAGAGCTGGAAAGAGAAGGGGAAGAGAAATGACGAAGAGAAGGGAAGAGAAAAGGAGATGAAATTTTTTTAATTAAAGTTGAGATATGCAACTATTCATTGAAACCCGATTTTTTCCCAAAGAATTTAATTCACATAAAAGGGCAAACCCAGTAGAGCAAAGTTGCTTTATAAATAATCAGATAAAAAAAACATTATAACTGACTAGAGAGCTTATTCTTTCACTCAGTAAAAACCACCGAACTACCACAGAGACAGGAAAACTAGGTATACACAATTAGAGTACAATTGCCCCCCTTCACTCAAGGGCTCAACGTTTAGTGAGCAAAGAGCCCAGGAAATGGGTTGCTATACTTAACACTAATTAATTAACTGAAGTAATTAATTAATGGGAAATAAAATAAAAATACAAATGCCTAGTTAAATTTGAATTTCAGAAAAACAAAAAAGGTAACATTTGGAACATACTTACACTAAAAAGTATTCATTGTTTATCTGAAATTCAAATTTAATTGTGCATCCTCTATTTTAGCTGACAACTCTACCAGTAGATAAATGAAGATGAGTATTCATAGGAAATATGTTGTGTGCTCACGACAGGAGCTCCAGGATTAAATGAGATCAAAACTGTCAAAGGGTGAGATCCCAAAAAACTCACCAAAAGGAAGGAAAGAATTATTTTTCCAAAGCTACTATTTGATTGCAAATGGGAAAGACAAAAATGCATTACTTAAACACACTGACCCAGCCCTACATAACTTGTTTTTCAATTGCCCTAAGAAAAGAAAGCAGTTGGAAACAAATATTGTAATGAACAAATGAACAAACTTCTTAACAGAAATCATCAGCTACCAAAAGGCAGAAAACTGAAACACACTAACAAAAATCCAATATCCACTGAGGACCCTGCTCAGTGGAGAGGGAGTATACAACTATTCTTACATTGAAATGATAATCTTTACTCCTGAGGAACATAAGTGTATTTAGGGGAAAAAAAACAAAGAAAATTGAACTTTGTTCATTTGTTGAGACCACTCTTATTCAAGTATTTAACATTTTCATTCTCAAACTGTAAATAAAATGTTAATAAATATGGTATGATAATCTAAGGTATGATAAACTCAGATTTTGACCTTAAATTCTAAAAAAATTATTCAATAATGTGTAATTTGAAGACACGTTATACTCCATATGAAAACTGCCAACTTAATTGATTACTGACTTCAAAAATGACTAGGTTGGGGCCAGCCCAGTGGTGTAGTGGTGAAGTTTGCATGCTCTACTTCGGCAGCCCAGGGATTCACCAGTGTGAACCTCGGGCATGGACCTACACACTGCTTATCAAGCCATGCTGTAGCAGGCATCCTACATATAAAATACAGGAAAATGGGCACAGATGTTAGCTCAGGGTCAATCTTCTTCAGCAAAAAGAGGAGGATTGGCAATGGATGTTAGCTCAGCGACAATCTTCCTCACCAAAAAAAAAAAAAAAAGACTAGCTTACTTGCTCATAGAATAGAAGGTTCTATATACTTGGGCATAAGACCCAAGGAGCCTCAGTATGAACATAACAATATTTCAATTATATTAGATCATCATTATTAATAGAGACAAGAAAAACTCCAATTCCCCAACTTGAGGACATATAAACATATATAGATTGTATGTAATTGATAACAGAAAATGACAGTCATTTAAAATAATAAAACTTACTGTAAAATAATGAATTTGAGTTTCACTGGAAAGTGATATGACTTCAGGTATTCTCTTAGAATCTTTGATATTCATGTTGATTGTAATGGTTCCATCCTTACCCAAGAGACTTGTGTAAATATAATTTCTATCTAACACCAAAACCCACGCACACGGCCATGTGAGAAAACTGCTATATACGTACAGCTTAAAAAGGTAAACATTATAGCCTCTCAAAATGAGAATAAAACTGTTTAGATTTCACTTTTATAAGAGGGAAAGTTTAAAGCACTGACAAAATGAAAGATGAATTAAGAAGAAATAGCTAACTAAAAGAAGACATTACATAGTGCTCACATAATATCTTGATATCACAAAACATGAGTTCTATGACTATTACTGAACAATTTTTGAAGACATCAACGCATACTAAAAAACAGAATAATTCCATGAACTACATGTAAACAAATGAAGTTTGAAAAGGTTTAAGAAAGGGTAAAATTTAAAAAACTGATTAAATACACAAATAGTAATGTGAGTACACAGGGACTACGGAAAGCTACACAAATCCTATCCCAATGGCCAGATAATTTACCTCTTCTTCCTATGTATACACTTTTATTTGTAATTTTTAAAGTCCTATCATTTTTTGGAACACTTCAAAGTACAAAAAGCATTGTACTAACTTTTCAGTGCAAAGAAAGCTCATAATAAAATAGAGTTTAAAAATTACACTATCTCCAAAATTCCACTGAATACCACAATAAAATGTTTAAAAGATAAATACATTAAATCAGACACCTATAATTCTTGCCATACTGATTTAAATGAAATCACTACATAATTTGTAAAACTGTGCTAACCTATGCTTAAATCTCAGTAAACAATATAAAAGTAGATGACAAACTTTATGCCATGCTTTGCCATTTGTAAAACAGTGACAGTCACTCAGAATTACCATGTGCTATTCCTATACTGAGTTAGATAAATAGATATCTGAAGGCTTTCACAACTGTTTAAGGCCTGGAAATTTTGTCTTAATTTCTAAAGGAAATAAACAGGATCAAGCACTTTAAGTGATATTATTATAAAGTAAGATTTTCTATAACAATAGATGCTTTTGAAACCAGATAATTCCATCCCCCCGAAGTCCAAATATACTCACTTTCATTTAAGTACATTTTTACGAAGTCTTCCTTAGCAAAGAAATGTTTTTATACTATAACTTTAAAAACTATAAATATATATTTTACATTTCTAGGATTTTAAATATTATAAAATCAAGGAAAAGATTAAGATAGCCAGTTATTTTTAATAAAATAGTGTAGGGGAGGAAGATATTTCCTCTACCCACTCTAGGTCCTTCTGGCTAGGCTACAAATTAAATTCACATGAGGCAGAATAACAGGAGAAAATTAAGCAAAGCTTTACAACATGCATGCATGGGAGAGACCCAGGAAAACTGAGCAACTCGCCAAAATGATGGAGGTTCTCATCTTAAATACCAACTTCAGCTACAAAGGAGGATGTTGGGGGTAGAGGGAGTCAGTTATGGGAGGTTACCAGAAAAGTACAGTGAACAAGAGTAAGGCTATTATGAAGATTTAAGTCCTTGCCTTCAGCATTGATAAGTTTTTTTAGAGATAAGGTCATCCCCCCTTCTTCCTGGTACAGAGAGGGAGCCACCTTTACAGATGGAGATTTCCCTCACAAATGTAAATGTCTCTTACAAAGGGTAAAGTCCTTTTCAGAGTTTCTCTCAAGTCTGCAGTTTTTAAAAGTAACCAGCCCAAAATAACTCTCATGCCAAAGAGACATATCTTGGGGTGGCCAATTCCAAGCCCCCACAGTAGGAAGACTTTATCTAAGTAGTGTGAAGCGCTAAGTTTTTACTAAATATTTGAGAAAAGTCACTAGTTATTTAAGTGTGATAACTGAATATACGCAATCAAAGCAGTAAACCTACATAATTCAATTACAAAAATACATTGGTATGATCTCTTCTCTTCCTCATATTTGAGAAATTAATAGTTTTCCTTCTAATACGACATGGTTTATTTATATATAGCATGCACATTCTCTTGGAATATCTAGCAATTTACTGACAGAAGAGTCCGCACCAAAAAAATGTATGAAAGTGAATCTATATTCTTTAGTTACTACTAGAATTTAATATTGGAGATAGTGACTGAAATTCTTGGTATACTTCTCTAAACCATCTCATTTCAAAAATAATTTTATTAAGTACCCTGTAGAAGTCTGTGGAAAACAGCAATTGTGAGCCCATATGGCAAGGAACATACATATATCTATAGTAAAATCTGCATCCAAATGTAAAAATGGATCATGAAACAAACAAAACTAAACTGTAAGACATCATACTTTGACATTTAAGGTAATTTTATTTTGATAACAAACCTAGTTAATTTTAATCTAGAAGTAAAATTGCTGGATGAAATCATTTGCCCATCTTTAACTCTAATAAAATATTGCCAAACTCCTATCCAAAGTGGTTGTACCAATCTACGTGCTGGTATGAGAGAGCCCCTATTTCTCCACATCCTTGTATATATCCTCTTTGTATCATGAGCCATTTGATTTTTTTGACTGATAGTCTTTTCATCTGTTGTATTAGTCAAGCTTCTCCACAGAAACAGAACCAATAGGAGATTACATATATAGATAGAGAGAGAGAAAGAAAGATTTATTTACATATACATAATAATAAATAAATATATAAAGAGATATTTATTATAAGGAATTGGCTCTCACAATTATGGAAGCTGGCAAGTTCAATCTCCAAGGTGGGCAGGCAGGCTGGAGATCCAGGATGAGCCAATGTTCTAATTTGAAGGCTGTCAGACAGGAGGAGTCAATGTTCTGGCTTAAAGGCCATCAGACAGGAAGACATGATGTTGAAGATGAAGTCCAAGTGAGTCTGCTGCAGATTCCGCTTCTTAAGGGAAAGGTCAGCCCTTTGTTCTATTCAGGCCTTCAACTGATTAGATGAGACCTTTCCACATTATGGGGGCCAACCTACTTTCTACCCATTTAAATAAAAATTTCACCCAAAACACCCTCACAGAAACACCCACAATAATGTATGACCAAACCCCTGGGCACTCTGTGGCCTAGTCAAGTTGACATAAAAATTAACCATTCACATCTGTTTACTGGCCATTTGGGTCTCCTTTCCTGAGAACTGCCTGTTTATTTCTTTTGCCCAATTTCCAACTGGGCTGTCTTTTTTGCTTAATGATTTACAAGATTTTTTAAAAAATAAGTCATAGATACATACTTTTAATACAGTATTGAAAAATCAAAAGTACAATGTACATTAAATTACCATTCATGTACACTTTAAATGGTCCCCATATGGTGAATTATACTACAGGATGTATTAGGAAAAAGATGACTTAAAAAAACCCAAATTTTCCTTTTGTAACTATGGTACAATGAACAATAGATTATGTTCTTCAACAAGAAAGAAATAGAAATGATTATGATAATTTGTTCAACGTCTTCTCTGCTAAGAAATTTTTGTAGTATTGATGATTACTAATATTTTATTGAATGCTTACTAAATGCCAGACACTGTGCTTTGTGTTTTTATTCTATTCAACCTCCTCAGCAATCTTATCAGAAAGGCATCATTATTATCCCTTTTTTAAATAGGTGAATACTGAGGCTAGAAGGTTAAGGATCTTAGCCCAAGGTCACACACTAAGTGGCTGGGACATGAATTCAGACTTCTTTAGAAATTCTTTGTAAGACATGGCTATTGGCTTCCACTATGTACAGTGGTACTGGGAAAGGAATAGCAGGGAATAAAGAATGAAGAGAGGCAATATCTTTGCTGTCTTGACAGAACCTGTTAGGAGGTAAAATATGGAAGATGTACAGACCACATAATGAAGGACAGAATGTCACAACAAAGGAGATGTATTAAAAGAGCTCTAACTCTAAGAGGTCAAGGGATAACTATGGGGGACTAAAAAGACTTCATGGAGAAAGGGAACTTCCAGGACAGGCTTTGAAGGAAGAGTACCATTTTGACAAACACAGCTGGGCAAAGAGAACTGCTCAGAGGTCAACTCAAGAATGTTCCAAAGGCAACAAAATGAACAACGAAAGAGTAAATGCCTATGTTTGCAAAAGGGAAACCTGCAATGAGAAAAAGGAAGCTGCAAAACAGACATATAATATTACATCATATGAAATACAAATTACTACTAATAAAGCTTTACATTTAAACAGAACTTGGCAGTTTACAAAAACTTTCACATATGCCATACATTTTCAATGGGAGTGATATTGTCCTCAAGGAGGGGGACATTGGTTATTGAGGGAGGGCTGGGGAATCAGAGATTCCCCCCTTAGGCTCCCTCCAACGGGCCACAGTATATAAACAGATACAGAGTATATCCATGGTATTACAAAATTTGAAGGGGAAGGTGAGACATTCGGGAGAAATATTTTTAAGGTTTTTTACGGGAGCGATACTGTAAAAAGGTTGAAAAACAGTGACAAGTACTACCTTATTTGATTATCCCAATCATTTAGTTCGTAAGAAGGGTATCAGTCCCCTTTTTAAAAAGCATATGAAACAAATAAAACAGAAGGAATGAAAGAATGAAGGAGAGAAACAGGTAGTTCACAGAAAAAGGAAACATTACTGTGTGTGTGTGTGTGAGTGTGTGTGGATATATTACATAAAGTAATGTGTAACCTCACTTAAATGTCAACTAAAACAATTAGATGTAACTTCTCACTCATCAAATTTGCAAAATAAGAAAAGGTGGATAATACTTAGTGTCGATAACAATGTGGAGAAATACGCATTTTGATTTTGATTAACTTGATTATAGAAGCGCAATTCTTTGAAAAGCAATCTGGCAACAACTAACTAACTTACAAATGTGTGTACCCTTTGGTTCAGCAATTCTACTGTTAGGAGTGTGTCCTACTGATATGCCCTCTAGCCAAATCTATGCAGAAGAGGCTGACTGTAACAGTCAAAAACTATAAACAACTTAAATATCCATCAGTAAGGAACTAGTTTTATAAATTATAGTAATCCAGAAATGGAATAGTCATTAAAAATGTAAATGCACTGATGGAGAAAATATACAAAGAATACTGAAATTAGCAAGTAACAGAATATATATAGTATGATCCCATTATTCTATAAAAATACATAAATAAAAGCTTGGCATGCATAAGGAAAGAGAGATTCTTCAGTTTATACCCCTGTGTATGCTTTAAAAAAATTAAAACATGAGGACATATCCTTTAACAAATATTTAATTATAAAAATATGAAAATAACTTGCTCAGGTTCATACAAGTAGGAGTCAGAGCTTTAATAAAACTCTATTCTTTTGGCTCATAATCCATTGTTTAATATTATACTACTTTAAAAAGCTTACTACTGTTCAGAAAAATCCATTTTGGTAATTAAATATGGTAATGTCTGTGATTCCACAATGCCTACTGAAGTATAAATACACCTACAGGTTCTCAATACCTTTCACGATCCTCCCACATCTATCCTTCCCATCTTCTCTTTCATATCTTTTCATTCTCTAAAGACATCCAGTGTTTTTCTACCTCTCTATTTATTTGGGCAATTAGCCTTGGTCACAGAAATCTATCTCAACCCATTCCTCTCACTGAAACAATTCTTAAAAAAAGAAAAATCTCCTATACTCATGGCCTGGCAAATAATAGGTAGTAAGCATTGTTGAATGAATGAATAAATATCCATCAGAACACACCCATTAACCACTTCTCAAAGTTCACCTCAAATGCTCCATTCTCTCTGAAATGTTTCCTAACTTCTTCTCATTGAAAACTGTTAAATTGAATAAATTCAGAGACTGGATCATGTAAAAGCCAATCCCACATTTCTACATCTAATGAGGAAAAAGTAAGCAAAATGGAGGGTTTCTTTCTTCCATGAGAATAAGAGGGGAAGAACAGCCCAGAGAAGAAAAGCCGCCCCAGACTGCACCAGCACCATACTTTTTCCATCATCACGCTTTACTATTCCTACTAAAGGAAACTTCCAGAAGCTACTTCTGTTAACACCAGTGATAAGAGTCACATTTTCTAGGCTCAAATTGAGGAAATGCCCTTACTAATTATCTGACCTTAGGCCAACTGGTTAAACTCTGTTCCTCAGTTTCCTCAATGTAAAATGGGAAATATCCATTTCATAGGTTTTGTGAAGATTAAACAAATATCCCTGAAATACTTAGAACAATACCTGACACAGAGTAAGCACTCAATAAACGGCAGCTATTCATGTTATTACGTCCCCGTCACGCTGTCACTGCTCTGATGGATATACCTACACAGTTAGGTTATCAGAACAAGAGCAAAGACAGGATGGTACTTACAGTTCAAAAACAGAGATCCTTTGAGTGTCCCATTCGATTTGTTGACTACCTTACACAATTAGATTTTGTGTAGTATTTTCTCAATATGTCTGTTGAGGAAGGAAAGAAGGTGGTAAGCAGAAACCGGAGAAAGCAGGGGCTGCACAAGTGTAGTCTACATTCAACTTAATAAATACTTGTTGAATCCTCCCATGTTCCAGAACCTAGTCTACAAGATAATAATTTAGTGGTAAACAAGACAGTCCAAGTCCTGTCCTCAGAGAATTTACATTCTAGGGGAAGACAAACAATAAACCAAGAAGAAATATTTCACATGTCAAATAGTGACATACGTTATGAAGAAAACGTAAAGAGGGTAAGGGGACAGAGAATGATGGGGCACGACTGAGAGCTTACCTGGGAGCAGGGAGCTTATCTGAGAAAGTGTAGTCTTGGAAGGCCCCTCTGAGGTTGGAATTAAGTGAGGGAATGAGCCACATGATAACTTGGGGGCAGAGCATGCTGGGAACAGCAAATGCAGAGAATTTACAGCAGGATTAGGAGGAGGAAGATAAGGTAAAAAGGAGTTCACAGAAACCTAAACAGACTCAAGTTAAAAAAATAAGTACGGTAAAAGAAAGAAAACCAAGTCGCAAAAAACGGCATCTAGTCAGATGACAGTCCTCAAGATGCTTCCAGTATTTTTGGAGAAATGAAACATCAACAGTCAATCAATCAATAAATAAAATTAAAGAACCAGAAAAACAATAAAATGTAATACTAAATGTAATTTGATTTTATTTTGTACAGTAAAATTTTAAAATCTGTGATATTTTTACATACGTACAGTTCTATTTAGATCCCTTACACAGAATGACTAACACTTTTTATTCCACTGCTCCTACACCTGCCTTTTCTAGCCATTTGGGCAGATCTATAGAGAAGGGCAAAGAAAGCGGACTTGTTTATGCTCTGCTCTCTTAATATGTACATCAGTAAGCAACCAAAGCCAGAAAAAGACGCAAGGAGGTACTGCAATATTTTGTGCAAACGCCAGGTAATTACTCGAGCCGTTACAAAAATGAAACAATTGGAAATACAAATATTTGATAACACATTAAATTTCAAGCAAGAAAGAGCTAGTTCAAGATATTAAAAACAAAAAGAGTTGGGGCCGGCCCCATGGTGGAGTGGTTAAGTTCGTGTGCTCCACTTCATCGGCCTGGGGGTTCACAGGTTCGGATCCTGGGCATGGACTTACACACCACTCATCAAGCCCTTCTGCAGTGGTGTCCCACATACAAAATAGAGAAAGACTGGCATAGATGATAGCTCAGGGACAATCTTCCTCAAGCAAAAAGAGGAAGATTGGTGACAGATGTTAGCTTAGGGCCAATCTTCCTCACCAAAACAAAACAAAACAATACAAGACACCCCTACAAGTTGCCAACATCATCAGTACATCTTTTAGCCTCCAACTCTTAGACGTCCTGGACATTTCTATCCACGCCTCTCTATCATTCTTGGACCTCGCTAATTTAAGCTACCATCATCTGGATCGCTGTTGAAACCTCCTGACAGGATCTCCTAGCATTTCTCTCCTCCTCCCCTCAATCAAGATCACTGCAGTGAGTGATCTCTAAAACAATAAATCTGATCATAGCACTCTCCATATTTCAATAATTTACTGCTCAAGGGTTGAAATTTCTGGCAAATCTTCAAGGCCCTGTGTGGCCCTTGACCACTTGTCTGGCTTCTTTTCTCACCACTGTCCCTGGACTCCTTGTGCTCCAGCTACATTGACTATATCTTATAAACTCCCCAACTGAGCAGTTCATTCCAGCCTTAGAGCCTTTACAAAGGCTTTTCCCTCAGCATGCAACATCTCTGTCCTCTTTTGCCTAAGGAACAAACGTAAGTTCACTTCTTTAGTAAGGTCTTCCTTGACACTCCTCCTCACCTCTAAATTAGGTTAGATTTCTCTGTTGCATACATCCTTAAGTCCCCTATCTTTCCATTATTGTACCTATGGCAATTGTAGGGGGAAAGGGGGGAGGGAGAGAGACTGAGTGAGTGAGAAAAAGAGAAAGGGAGAGTGTATGTGTGTATGTATGTTTACATACACATACACATGTGTAATGTAGGGAAGCAGAATTTGCCACCCCAAAATGTGTCTCTTTGGCTTGATTTTTCTTTTTCCTTTTTTTTTTTTTTTTTTTGGTGAGGAAGATTGGTCCTGAGCTAACATCTGTTGCCAGTCTTCCTCTATTTTGTATGTGGGACACCACCACAGCATGGCTTGATGAGCGGTGTGTAGGTCCACACCTGGGATCCAAACCCACGAACCCTGGGCTGCCGAAGCAGACCATGCAAACCCATCCACTATGCCACAGGGCCAGCCCCCAGCTTGATTATTTTTATGAACAAAAGACTCAGGGAGAAACTCTGACCTTCCCCCTAAGTGCCTAAAAGAATTTAAGCTAGAAAGTCTGTTATAGGAAGGAGCTATCACCATAGATAACTATAGTATAATACGAACTAGGGTGGTAGACAGGGAGGAAGCTAGCAAGGCCCATTTGATCAAAGTCCTCTCCACATCTCATTGTCTCTGCAAAGCATGGCAAACATTTGCTACCAAATGCTTGATTTTCCACCTCCATGTGAATTGCCTTCCTCCCCTTTGAAGTACCAAACCACTACCCCTAACATCCTCCTTTGTCTTTAGCTGGAGATGCTATTTAAGGTGGTGGCTTCAGCCATTTTGGCAAGCTACTCAGTTTTCCTGGGTTTCTCCCATGTATACATGTTATAAAACTCGTTTGATTTTCTCCTGTTATCCTGTCTCATGTCAATTTAATTCTTAGACTAGCCAGAAGAACCTAGAAGGTAGAGGAATAGTTCTTCCTCCCCTACAGTATACATATTTTTAAAGGTTTACTGCCACCCCTGAATTCATGAGGGTAAGGAATATGCCTAGCATGGTGCATGGCATACAGAAGGGACTTTATTAATATTTGTAGGAAAAAAAGTGAGAGAGAATCGGCCTCAGGTCAGAATGCAACAGTGACATCTCCCAAATGAAGATGCTTCAGATGAAAGGCTAATTATGCAAAAGGAATAAACATGAGAATTAAGACTTCTTCTCATAGCTTCTTCATTCTCTAGTTCCCTAAGGCACTCTTGCGTATTTCAAAATTAGGCATAAAATATCATCCATCAGGGGCCGGCCTGGTGGCCAAGTGCTTAAGTTCGTGCACTCTGCTTTGGCGGCCCAGATTTTCACCAGTTTGAATCCCAGGCGTGGACATGGCACCACTCATCAAACCATCCTGAGGCAGCACCCCACATGCTACAACTAGAAGAACCCACAACTAAAAAATACACAACTATGTACTGGGGGGCTTTGGGAGAAAAAGGAAACAAAATAAAATCTTTAAAAAAAAAAAAGTCATCCATCAGCCAATCTTTTACCTGGAATACTTACATTTTCTTAAAAGCTAAGTCAACAAAAATTTCCTCAAATATTTAAGTTCTGAATTTTCTTTTTTTTTTTTTTGGAAGATTAGCCCTGAGCTAACATCTGCCACCGATCCTCCTCTTTTTGCTGAGGAAGACTGGCCCTGAGCTAACATCCGTGCCCATCTTCCTCTACTTTATATGTGGGATGCCTACCACAGCGTGGTGTGCTAAGCAGTGCCATGTCTATACCCGGGATCCAAACCAGCAAACCCCAGCCCACCGAAGCAGAACATGCAAACTTAACTGCTGCACCACTGGGCCAGCCCCTCAAATTTTTATATTCATAAATAAATTCCTTTTCTACATTCCAATAATCCCTAAATTTGTTTTTCCCGACAATTTAAAGATAAAATATGTAAGAGTGAGTGCTAGTTTATTTGATCTAGTAACCCCAATAAATAAAGCAAAAATCTGTTTTTGTCTATAATTAAAAGATAAAATATTTAAGACAGAGTTCTAGCTTATTTGACCTATTAATGCCAATATATAAAGAAAGCAAAAATATCTAAGCTTAGGACCAAATTAAAAAGTATCAATTTCATTAATTAAATTAAACACCTTTAGCTGTTTGTGAGCAAATGACAACGACAGAAGGTGAGGCCCTCCTAGCCCAGGGTCTGGCATACCAAGTCCTAATAAGAGAGAGTGGAAGGGGAGGGTGAGCGTGCGAATGGGCTGAGGAGAGAAAAGGTTGGTGTCAACTCATATAATCTCTGCTTTATGAGGCACAAAGGCAAAGCAAAATCCAAATCTCTTCTTCCATTGATTAAAAATATTGCTCTTCCTAAAACTATTTTAGTCAGAAACTGCTACTGGTAAGACTGGATCAGATAAATTTATTGGAAGAGTCAGTACAGAACAGATTTTCATGAACTGATGTAACAGGCCTTTAGTGGTTACCAGCCCTCTCAGCTATGGATGTGAACTACAAAAAACAAAGTTTAGCTCTAACAATTTTTCTGGATTTGGTTTCATGTACTGTTATGCTCACGTTATTATACTTTTGTTTCTGGAACAATTCATAAAACAGACAAATCTGTAAATCTAGGAACTCAGTGTCTGACTATATATCTGTTTCTCTCTCTATATATAAATATACACACACACCTTCATTTCATTTCATAGTGAAATGCCTTCATAAAATGGCACTTCTAATATATGAGGTGATTTTATCTTTTATCTATATAACCAAGGTCAACCCTGTATTTCCTAAATCTTGTGGTGAGGTTTTTCTACAGCAATAGCAAGGAGAAATAGATAGGAGAGTTGGTCTTATATACTTAAGAGACTTTCATCTGTAAAGAAATAGATCAAGAAGGCAAAAGATGGAAAGGAGGGCCCCCTATTCTAGAATTAGTACAAGCGCACAGAATTAAATAACTTACATTTAGAAATTTTCTCTTTAGGATACAAAAGCATTATTTCTAACATGAGGGGACGAAATTTAATCACAGATCCAAAAGTCTTAAACTACTTGAAAAATGTCCATATTCTCTTTATTAATGGAAAACCAGTCTGATACATAAGATACCTCTTAGAATGGCAAACATGTCTCCTATCTAGATCTTATTAAATGTATCTGGATATAGGT